GTCCCAGCTACTCGGGAGGCTGAGGCAGGAGAATGGCGTAAACCCGGGAGGCGGAGCTTGCAGTGAGCTGAGATCCGGCCACTGCACTCCAGCCAGGGCGACAGAGGGAGACTCCATCTCAAAAAAAAAAAAAAGAAAGAAAATACTGTTAGAAGGAGTAAGTTCTAGTGTTTACACAGTAGAATGACTATAGTAAACAGTATTTTATTGTATATTTCAAAATAGCTAAAAGAAAAGGTTTAGAATGTTCCCCAAAAAAGAATATTAGAAATGGCAGATATCCTAATTACCTGATTTGATTATTACACATTTTATATACATTTGAAAACATCACATGTACCCCATATATATATACAGTTATTATGTATCAACTTTAAAAATTGAAAAAATCCAGCTGGGCGTGGTGGCTCATGCCTGTAATCCCAGCACTTTGGGAGGCCAAGGTGGGGAGATCATTTGAGGTCAGGAGTTCGAGACCAGCCTGGCCAACATGGTAAAACCCTGTCACTACTAAAAATACAAAAATAGCCAGGTATGGTGCATGTGCCTGTAATCCCACCTACTGAGGAAGCTGAGGCAGGAGAATCGCTTGAACCTGGGAGGCATAGGTTGCAGTGAGCTAAGATCATGCCACTCTACTCCAACCTGGGTGACAGAGTTAAGACTCCGTCTCGAAAAAATAAAATAACATAAATAAATAAAAATAAAAATTTGAAAACATCTGATTAATTGGTATGGGAATTTGCAACTGCAGGTGATATGGTTACTCTTCTCACTAGAGATTTTCAACAAACTTGGTCAATGCACAAATATGCAGTGGAAGCAATTCAACTATACGAAGTTCTCAGTTACTGATACTGTTACATGCTGGATTTAACTTGCTTATTTAAGGTAAACTATACCCATGAATGAATGCACATTGAAATAGCTGGCCAGCTCTTGAAGCTTAGGAGACTGCGTTAAATATTTTTCAGAAATGTTTTAAAAAAGCAGTATTTTTTTTTACAGAATATCCAGATTGTTGATTTAATTTACATGTAACACATTCCTTTAAAACAGAGAAAACTTTTTAAAAACTCAACTATCCCCTTAATAAAGTTACATCTTAATTTGAACTACTATGATTAAAACATGAAAGCAACTTAAAACTATACCCTTTTAAATATTATCCTTAAAATGGTTTAATGCTTATACACAGCATGAGTTAGCTTAGTACTGAAGACTAATAAAAACTTAAGAGTATTTCATGGTTATTAATTTTTCTTTTTCCAATAGGGTATTCTGTCTATTTTAGAAAAACTCAAGATATATATTTTCTGGATTTTATATTCCTAAAGGATAGGCAAAAACTGTCTACCTAAACTTGCTGTACTCAGATTTTATCAAACAGGAGATGAATGAGTCTGCTTTAACATCAAAAATAAAATAAGGCTGGGCCATGACGGCTCACGCCTGTAATCCCAGCACTTTGGGAGGCTGAGGCAGATGGATGACTTGAGGCCAGGAGTTTGAGACCAGCCTGGCCAATGTGGCAAAACCCTGTCTCTACTAAAAATGTAAAAATTAGCTGGGCGCGGTGGCAGGCACCTATAATCCCAGCTGCTCTGGAGGTTGAGGTGGGAGAATTGGTTGAACCGGGAGGCAGAGGTTGCAGTGAGCTGAGATTGTGTCACTGCACTCCAGCCTGAGCAACAGAGCAATACTCAGTCTCAAAAACCAAAAAAAAAATAGCTGGGTGTGGTAGCTGGCACCTGTAATCCCAGCTGCTCAGGAGGCTGAGGTATGAGATTGCTTGAACCCAGGAGGAGCAGTGAGCCAGGATCGCGCCACTGCACTCCAGCCTGGGCAACAGAGTGAGACTCCATCTCAAAAGAAGAAGAAGAAGAAAAAGAAGCCTTTATTATTAAGCTTTTATTTTATTTTTGGAGTGCAGTGGCATGATCTCAGCTCACTGCAACCTCCGTCTCCTGGGGTTAAGTGATTCGCCTGCCTCAGCCTCCCAAGTAGCTGGGATTACAGGCATGCGCCACCAGGCTTGGCTAATTTTTGTACTTTTAGTAGAGACAGAGTTTCACCATGTTGGCCAGGCTGCTCTCAAACTCCAGACCTCAGCCTCGTCCACCCGCCTCGGCCTCCCAAAGTGCTGGGATTACAGGTGTGAGCCACTGTGCCTGGTCATTTTTTTTTTTTTTT